TTCACAGCTTCATCTTCAGTGCCTGATAGATGTACAGAGGTGCCTCAAGTATGTGATATCAATTGAACAGCCACCTGAACTTTATTCTCGTAAAGTATCCATTAGCTGAAAAGTTAATTTCAGTAGATATGAATGCCAGGATTGGAAACGGTTCTGTCAAAGCACCGTCAATTAAACATTTGAGTTGAGAATATTACTTTCCCACAAGCCATTTCTCTGGGAATGGTTTATTGAATTAAAGAGGAAAATAACTGATCAACTTCATTTGTTATCCAAATATGATATTGATAATTAGTATTAGTGAACCTGGGAAGACTATACTCATCAAGAGATTAGAATTAGTGAGAAGCAGGAAAGGACAGTTAAAATTTCTTGCAACATTTGATTCTATGGACAGAAATATTTCTGTGGGTCTAGTTATTTAATTCTGATAGAAATTTTAGGTTTCTAATGATCCTCCAGAGCCTTAGAGCCTTATCATGGTACCACTGTGTTGCAGAATCAAAGCACTTAAAAAGGATCTCTTGACAGATCAAATTCTAATCCTAAATGACTTTGACATAACTCTCTTCTGTTTACCTTATGTGTAAATAGTCAGATATAGTTTTAGATTAATAAGCGTGTCCTGTTCCTCTTCATAGCCAATGGAATCATTGATAAGATCCCCCTGAAGAATAGTTCCAGGGTGACCAGGTAATTATGGGTAAACTTAGCTCTTTTTAGCTGGCTCTGTGACAGAGTCACATACACATAACATTTGTTTCTATGAGAAAATGGAATCTGTATTCTTCACTTGCAGATAAATATCTAGAATATAGCTGGTGTTATGCTAATAAATATCACCTCTTTTCCTTGCCCAAGTTTTGAATTGTGTGAGAAATAAGACAAAGAATCTGGCAGACAGAGACAAAATATCACTTTTAATAAGGAGCTTATTTTGGAGAATGCAGCTTAGGGCTTCCTAATACCGAATCCTTAAGCTTCCAGGTACAACCGTCCTGAATATCCAGGTTCTTTCACAGAAGGGAAAAGGCAGGATCTGAGGTCAGTATTCCCAGTATTTGTTCTTCTGAAATAACTCACGACACCTCACTTAGGACAGAGGGAATAAAGGCGTGTGAGAAGCCCGGAACGTGGCCTCATCGAGCTCCCTCCACATGGAAGGAAACATCAGCAATGAGGAAGAAGCATCTCCCCTAAGAAGGAGGTCTGTGTACATTGTCTCTCTAATCCTGGAACATTGCAGTCTGGTGTGGATTGGGTTAAAAGGGGCCTAAGAAAGGATTATTGCTGATTCATACTTTCAGCACTGCCTGACCTTCCTGTTACTCATGGTTTTCCGGATAAGGCCAGGGAAGAGTCAGGAATGCAGGTGCCTCACAGGCCTCCAACCCTTCCTGGTCACTCTTCCTTGTATGCTCACCAGAGAACTGGTGTAGAAAACCACGGTAAATATTGACACTGTTGTCATATGATGGTGTTAGCAGACTGTGGCAATAGAGCTCTGCGAGTACTACTCCCTTAAGATCTTAAACCCAAGACAAGACAGAGCAGTGGGCTCTTCTCGGTTTAGGAGACAGGATATGAGACCCCGCATTTGAGACCCTTCAGCTAATTATGTGACCTCAGGACACTTTTTCATTTTTCCTAGATTCCTGGTTAGCCTTTTATAAAGTGGACTTAGTATGTATGTACATGTAAAAACGCCAGAAAGAGAGAACATATTTGCAGCACATATATAAAGAACTCTTACAAATCAAAAGTAAGAAGACAAAACAACTCAACTAAAAAATGAGCAAATGCTTTGAACAAATATTTTACAAAAGAAAAGATATGAGTGGCTAATAAGCACATGAAAAGATACTAAGTATCATTTGTCATCACGAGATGCAAATTAAAACCAAAGTGAGATACCACTACATGCCCTTTAAACAGTTAATGTAACAAAGGCTGATAATAACAAGGTGTTGGCAAGGATGGGTGGCAACTGGAACTGTTATATTGTTGACGGGAATGTAAAATGGTACAACTTTCAAAAACAGTTTGATGGTTTGTTAAAAGTTAAACATATAACCTGCCATGTGATGTAACCATTCTACACCCAAGTATTTACCCAAGGGACACGAAAGCATATGTCCACACAAAGACTTGTGCACAAATACTCATAACACCTTTATTTGTAATAGTCAAAAACTGGAAACAACCCAAATGTCCATCAACAGATGAGTAGACAAAAAACCATGGTATATCCAGCATATCCATACAATGGAACACTATTCAGAAATAAAAGAAAACAAACTATTAGTACACACAACAACATGGATGAATCTCAAAATAATTATGCTGAGTGAAAGAAACCAGATAAAAAAATTAAAAAGACCCCAAAACTCAGTACATCTGTATGACTCCATTTATATACAATTCTAGAAAATGCAAACTAATCTATAGTGACAAAAAGCAAATCAGTGGTTACCTCCGACTGGGGGTGTGGAGAAGGATGGACACAAGAAAACTTTTGGGGGTTACGAGAATGTTTGATATCTTGATGATGGTGATAGCTTCATGGGTGTACGCACGTGTCAAAACTTTAAATAGTGCAGCTTACTATACATAAATTATACCTCAATAAAGTTGTAAGAGGAAGAAAAGAAGGAAGAAAGAACAAACTAAGACAGTCATATGGATGAATTTCAAAATCATTGTGTTGAGGGGGAAAAGCCAGACATAAAATAGTACATACTGTATGACTCCATTTATATACAATTCTAGAAAAAGCAAACTAATCTCTAGTGACAGAAAGCAGATCAGTAGTTGCCTGGGGTTGGGGGTGGAGGGAGGAATGGACTGCAAAGGGCCAAGAGGAAACTTTTGGGTGCGAGGGAAATGTTCTGTATCTTGATTGTAATGGTGGTTTCCATTGTATATACATCTATCAAAACTCATCGAGTTTTACTCTTTAAATAGATTCATTTGTTGATGTAAATTATACCTACCTCAATAAAGTGAGTCTAAAAACAAAAGAGAAAAGAATTAAAAACAGGCCTTTGTTTAACTCCTGGTGCCAGGAATCACTCAAGCTGAGAATAACAGCAAAACATATGGGCCTGAGAGGTGTCTTTGCTTGGGAAAAATATTTAAATGGGACTCTCAGCTATTTAAGAGCAAACCCCAAATCCTATTCCTGAATGGAGACTTTGGGGACAATAAGGAACTGATCTGCTGTGTAGTAATATAAAAATATTTGTTTACACTGAGTCAGAGTTAAAACCCTGGCTAATCTTCACAAGGTGTTATTGGTTTCACTGCCGTGGCTGGGGTTAGACACAGGGGTAGTTGGGGTCCTGGATTTTAAGGAGGGAGGACTGGATTGAGAACATCCTCGTCCAAGTGATAAAGCTGTTCCTGAAACGTGGTGAGAGTCAGGGCTGAAGAACAGAGGTGAGGAGAGGACCTGGGACTGGGGGACGAGGCCAGTGAGCAACCAGGAGTGAGGAGCTAAGTCATCTGTTTTAAGTATTTCCCTTTTCTGCACTGTATTTCCCCCTCCTTGACCTGTCACCCATAAGCCTTTGGTGAAGTGAGGTGAATGCTATAATTTGATGTTAACTGTGTCTGAGGGCATTCATGGGGGGCTGTGTCCAGTAGAGTGATATGTGGAGAGCCATGGAAGCTTAGGGACATGATTACAAAGAAGTGACCCTCAGAGAGGGCCAGAGTGGTGGTCCACAGAGAAAGCTAAGCAACGGATAAAAGCTAAGCAACAAATAGCCTGGGGACACAGGTAGGTCCTCCTCAGGGACTCTCGGCACTACAGCTGGGTGAAACCGGATTTCCCGCATTCAGATGGGGTGGGTGGAGCACAGACTATATTATTGGGTGTTTAAAGGAACAATGACCTTCTAAAAGGTGGTGGCTTGGGGACGTTTGGCATATAAGGAGATTAACTACCCTCTTCCCAACCTCCCAAGGTTGTTTGGACTGTCTCGAGTAATTTTGGACTATGAGACAGAAAAATAATCCATAGGGCAAGATTCACCTTTTTTATCTCAAAAGGTCAGAAGAGATCTATGGTATATGACCAAACCCTAACTAATAATTGCCTTTCGCTGGTTTGACGTCAGTTACTGACTGGACTTTGTACCTGAAAGAGAGTTAAAACTAAAGATACTTGGGGGACCATCATTTCCTCCTCGGAGCACCTAGCAAGAACATCTAAAATGAAAGCCTCTGCTCACCTCACTCTTCTCATCCTCCTTTTTGTAACCTCAGGTAAGGAATATTTAAAAATTTTTCATTCTTTTAATCTCATTTGTTGTCTTTGAGATAGAGTCAGCAGGCTCAAGCTAGCAATTACCACAGCCCAACAGGTGGAGGGTTTTGTGGATGAAGTTTCCTCTCCAACTCAAAGATACAAGGCATTTGAGTCTGTGATGAAGGAGGATAGAGCAGTAGTAACGAGGCCTCTGGACTAAGATTTGGAGGTCAGCAAACCATAGATTTGTCCTTGAGAGTTCCCGAGGCCAGACAAGAACAACTTAGTAGGTTCCCACAGCCCAGCACTCTACAGCAGCCTTCTGGATCTCTTCCCATGATAAGCACAGGGAGCTGGCCACAGAGAAGCCCTCCTTTCACAAATGTACTTGAATTTGAGGGTACTAGACCAAAAGGAATAATTGTAATGTTGAATGGACTTCAGAAATGGACTTCCTCTTCTGAGTTAAGAAAGGTTATCTGGCGTGCGTGTGAGTGAGAAGGTTGTCTGTGTATCTGAGAGGTGGGGGTTCATGAATGGAAATCTAGAGGCTGCTCGCGGAAAGGAATAAAGTGTTTGATCAGGCAGAAATGTGAAGAACAGAAATTGGACCCATTTTAGAGAAACTGGAATGGGCAGCATCAGGATTTTATTTTTTTGAGAGCTGGTTTGAAGCTCCTAATAGAGGAATGTTGGAAAGACTGTCTTCATATGAGAGACAGGACAGGCCAGATCTCCCCGATCAACCATGGGGGCAGATGTCATGGCCAAGCTTTCAGGTCCAAGCAGGATGGGGCAAGGGTTGTGTGACTTTCAGGAGCCACCATGAAAGAAGGCTTGACTGCCACAAAATAGAGGAAATTTTGGCTGGGAGGGGATGTGAAGATGGCTAGAAATCCGGGAACCCAAGGGGCAGGGCAAACTATAGCAAGCAGAGCACGTGCTTTGGAGTGAGGTAGGCAGTAATTCAAATACCTGACACCACTTATTAGCTGGGGGTGTCTCCGAAATTCAGTGTCTCCCCCTGTAATAACTGAGGGGAAATCCCTATGCTGAGAGTGACGGAGTGAGGGACGCTGACAGTATATGACGTGCAGGAGATGCTGCCTGGCACATAGTAGGGCTCAATAGATGCTTGAGACCAAGTTTCCTTAGTGACCGAGTTGCTAGAGAGAGGATTGAAGCTGAGTTAGGGATAGAAACAGAGAGCGAGCCAGGAGCTGGCAAGGCAGGTGGCATTGAACTCTCCACCAGCAAGCTGAGATTTCCCAAGCAGAGAAGACCACCGCTGCGTCTTCGCTGTCAGCATCTACCTGGTACTCAACCATCATTCTGCAGTCAGGTATTGCCTTCCTGATGCGGATGTGTGGCAGGCAGTGGACAAGAAATGAAAAAGAGCCAAAGGCCTTTTCTTTGGAAGAAAACCGAAGTGTTGAAAGCATAAGCAACTTCTCTTCCAGGGGCAAGAAAATAGCCCACCAGCTGGCCGTCTGACTGCTGCTGCTCCTGTGATGGCTACTATTCTCATTTCTCAAGGGCTTGTCCTGTGCCCAAGAGGACCTGTGACATAGACGTCAGGGTCCGCATTTGAGAGAAGAGCCCACCAACACTCAGAGGGATTAAGGGATTTGCCCAGAGGTAAACGTTAATTCCCATGTGTAAGGGGCCAAAAGGCTCTTGATGCCAGAAACAGGGATTAAACCACGTCCCTGCACTGCATGAGGGCCCAATGACATCTGGGGGCCAAAGAGAATACACCACTGGCCCGAGCAGTGGATGGGATTGGGGAAGTTCTCAGAGGAGAGAAGGCAGGCGCCCTGAGATGGGAACAGAAAGGTCACTTCTACCACAAAAGGCAGAACAAAATCAGCTGCCCTCCCTCCCTGTGCCCTCCCCTCACCTCCTCCAACAGGAAATAGGAAGGAGGCCTTTTTGTGGAAACTGCTGGGACCCTCATTCGACCCTGCATTGGAGGACGTTTGGTCATGCGAGGGAGCAAAGAACTGTAGACACAGAAGAGGCAGCTGAGATGAATTAAGGGTTACCCTGGCCACTTTTTGTCATATCCACATTTTCATCCAATTTTTAAACTTTGGCTTTGATTTTCTCTTCTCTGTTTGCTATCCAAGTAAGGCAGACCCACTGTAACAAATTCAAACATAGAGACATCTGCCCTCACACCCACCTACCCCCATCCTAGCAACCACCCCCAGATATACTACTATTGACTAGTTGGTGCTCATTAAGGTTTTTGTAAAAGAAATAGTTTCTTTTTCTATAGAATGTAAGGATTTTGCAGGTGTGCATGAGAAATTACTATTTCAAAAATGAGTTCCAACTCAGAGTCCTAGAAACCAAGGGCAGGAAGCGGATTCGTAACCTCTACACACACACCCCGCCCCCCTTGATGTCTTCCCCGGCACCTTGAATGCAATAACCCCTTCGTAAGCATTGACTAAAAAAATATGTGTGGGTGACACTCAAGTCCCTTTAACAGGCAAAACTTTGCAGGTTGTTTTTGCTTTCTCTGCAAGATTAGGGCTGGTTTATTCTGCGTTTGGGAACGCACATTTCATAATATCAAAGAATTCAAATCTTGAAGAAGGGCATTTTCTCGTAACCTCCAGCTAGCTTTGAATAGAGCAACAACAGGTGTTCCCTGGACAGGGGTGGGTGGGTATGGGGCGTTCTCCAGGAAGTGGCCAAGTCAGGGCTCATTTTTTTTCCCATTTAAGCCTATGGTTTGTACCCTCATGGACATTGTGCTTGTATTGTTCAGAAGCTCCAAGCTCCTTGTATTGTTCAGAAGCTCCAAGACTTGGGGAAATAAAAAGATTAAAGCTATCTTTTACTATGCTGATGCCTTAATATATTTCTGTAACTATAGGTTGAACACAATAGATTTTTTTACAATTCCTCTTGGATATTATTACCAGAAATGTAAGCCTCGGTTATCAGCTTCCTGAAATCTGTACAACCATAAAATTCACACATATACATACACACATATCTATATTTTAGGTTTTTAAAAAAATTCGTATTGTAGCTATTCACAGTGATGAATGTGTCTCATTTATTAAAACTAATTGAGCGTTCTTGAATGCAATCTCCCTAGCAAACAGAAATTTGAAACTGAAGTAAAAAAGCACTAAATCTAAAACTTCTTGTCATAATCTCAAAGACGTGCAGAAAACCTCTTAATAGGTCCCAAAGAGCTTTGTGCACATCTGCAGAAACATGTTGGTTATTTGGCATCAGCAGAGAACGAACATTTCTGAAGCGTGAAATTCAAGGCCGGGTGGAGTCAGGGCTGTTTGCACCCACAACCTGCCAAGCCCTTTTCTTCTGTTTAGTTTTCCATGGTCAGGGTCAGTCCCAGGCCACTCTCACTGCTTCTCCAATGATAGAGGACACCCCAGAGGTGGCTTCCATGCCCACTGTTCTCATTCTAATCCCCGGTTTTTCTCTATTTCTTTCTGTTTCCTCCTCTGATATTTCTTGTCTTTTTCATTAAATGATGGCTTTTTCCACAACTCTCTAACCAAGTCAGAGGTAAGACATTGGCAATATGCAGACCTGGCTTTGTGTCTGGGCAAATCCCTTAGTTCCTCTGAGTGTTGGTGGGCTCTTCTCTCCAACGCGGACACTCACATCCATGTCACAGGTCCTGTCAGGCACAGGGCAAGCCCTCGAGAAATGAGAACAGTAGCCATCACAGGAGCAGCAGCAGTCAGATGGCCAGCTGGTGGGCTATTTTCTTGCCCCTGGAAGAGAAGTTGCTCATCTCTTCAACACTTCGGAATGACTATCTAAGCCGGGCCCTGTTCCAGGTGAAGAGCCGGATTCTGCCCCCAGGGGCTCACAGACACCTGGGGGAGTCAGGGAACAGCTTCAGCAGTTTTCTTTATCCCAGGGTTTAGGAATTGCTTCCTCACTAAAACTTTTCTTTTTCATAATTATGTTTTTTAACCAATTGTCAATGTCAGAGTTCTTAGAGACAAGTGTTCTAGAAAACTGATCACTGGATCACTAAGAGTTTACTACCCCATGTGTCCAGGGGTTCCTAAGGGTTAAAAAAAAAAAGGCAACTTGGACGATCACCATAGTCCTTAGGGCAAAGATCATCTCTATTCATCTAACTCTTTAAAAAGTTCATGTGTCTAGAATTGTTGATGGATAAACATTGCTAGAAAAAATTTGGGGAAGAATTTTAATACACACTTAATGAGGTATATTTATTTTATCATTCTTTAAACACAACCCTTTCCTTCCCTCCCTCATATCTATCAACAGCTAAAATGCCATGTAATGGGAAATTGAGACACTTGCCTTCACAAAAAGACAAAAGGAAGCCTCTTCCAGATAGTAACACCGCCACCTAGTGGCATTTTCAATAGTCCTCCTGGGGACTACTCAGGAGTGTTCAACACCGATTGACAGTTCTACAACTATAGGCATAAATGATATTACTTCTTGGTTTTCATCTTAATACATATTAACTCTGTATCTTATTTTTCAATAACATTTTTCCAGTTTTGTCTGTTTATTTTTAGTTTTATTTATTGTGGGGTTTTTTGTGTGTGTGTTTAGAAGTCGTCATGTATTTTCATTTTTAATGTGGTCAATTATATTTATTTTTCAGAGAAGAATGGATTGGGTACTAATTAGTATTAAATAATAGCAACTGCCGTTATATATTCAATGTTCTGTCTTCTGAAACTTGGTATTTTTGTTCTTCCAGCCATCGGGCAAAGCCTGTCTAGTACCTCAATCACAGCTAGCTCAACTAGCTCCACCTCAGAAACTGCAACTAGTCCGTCTAGTGCCTCATCAACCACAGCTAGCTCAACCAGCCCCACCCCAGAAACTGCAACTAGTCCGTCTAGTGCCTCCTCAACCACAGCTAGCTCAACCAGCCCCACCCC